ACTATGAATATACATGCATCGCGATATCTCGAATATCGTAGCGAGTGAAGCATGAGGCGGCCTGGTGCAGCACATTCAGTTGCCTGAGAACATCGCAAAAGAGAGATTCAGCTGGGTTCCAGTTGAGTCTCCAGCAAAACCAAATTAGTTTGCAGATGAGTGTACTTCGCTACTCTTCAGGGTTTGAAATACAGACAGATGAAATTTATGAATGTACGGCAGCGGAGTATCAATGTCAGTACTGATGTTGGTGTTTCTGATGATGATATTAAGACGTACACATTGCCTCAAGGAACGGAGCAAGGGCATGTCCATGTAGTGCACCTGCGCTAGTTCCTAATCGAGCCTCTGCCAAATGTTAAGTTGATCTGAAGGAACTACTCGCCTCAAATCAATCGCTTAAAACGTGTACTGACTGGGGCCATTGGTTGTCAAACTTTCAACCTGATCCCCCTCATTAGCTCCCTCTAAACGACGGCAACATGAATAATAATGAAGGAAGGTTTTTTACGATGGCGTAAAATATCATTGAGCAATAATCCATTTCAAGGAGAGACCGTCCAATGAAGAGTAAAACGCGTTTTTGTGGCACTTTCAATGAGCGATAGCGTCTAAGAAGGACGTTATCACAAAAGTCTCACTGCTTGAGTTCCAGACATCCTATGTTTGCTGATGCTGGCACCTTAGCGGTTCGGAGTGAGCTCCGTTGGAAGTCCGTTGGAATCCAACCCCATCAAGAAAAGGGTAAACGTTAAGCTAAGATTGTATTGTTGTCATGGGAATGCAGGCACTATACTTGGAACGGTATTACCCACGAGTCCCCAGTTGGGGGACGCTCACAGTAGAAAATGGGGGGCTAAAATCGAGTCCCACTCTTTCGTGAACGAAACAGACTAAAAGCCTGAACCAGATGGCCAAATTGACATACTGGCGTAGCTAACAGAGAGGGACATGAACAAAGTTATGGAGGAGAGGGAGCCACTTACCGATACTTCAACTTGGAAACATCAACGCCTGATGGAGTGAAACAGCTAATGTTTGCCCCGCGGAGCTCAGGCATATGTGGCAATCGCAGTAGTCCGAAGCCGTTGGCCAGACGACCAAAGTCCAGGTCTTCAGATGGAGTGGATGAAAAACACACAACAAAAAGCGTTGTGAGTAGTACTGCATTTGCAACGTGTACATAGGGTGGTAACCGACGAATTGACGACATTAAAAATTTGGCGATTGCGGTGATCGACCCTTCATTACTGGGACTCAAAATGAAGGGTCAGTACCTCAAAACGCATCTAACATATGCATACATAGCGTTCAAAGAAGCGGTGGGTCGTTCAGTACTTAGCTCCTCTCGGCCTACAAGCTACACTTGCAGTCGAACTAACTCGAATATGTGGTCGGATATCCGGATGGATCAACTAAACCAGCATATTTCATGAATTGAACTGGGTATCACGAAACAAAATAGTAAAAGGTATAGCATAGTATAGTAGTGGTGCAGTATATACAGTAGAGTATAGAATTTCGACAAGCAAAATCGATTTCAGCCCATTGAAGAGGTCATCCTACCGTTTCTTAAGGATGAAAAGGGTACAGGGGAGGGTAGAAGCTGTGTAAATGTGTACAAAAGCACCTGTCATTTTTTAGCCATCTGATATCAACCGAACAGGCGAGGACCGAACAGGACTTTCTCATCCAATGTGCGGCATTAGAAACCATGTTAAACTTTTTAAAACAGTATTGCGTGCTTCACAAAATTAAGCTGGCAACCCCGAACAGGCGAGGACCGAACAGGACTTTCTCATGCAATGTGCGGCATTAGAAACCATGTTAAACTTTTTAAAACAGTATTGCGTGCTTCACAAAATTAAGCTATCCTGGCAACCCCCGACCTTACAGATGTCCGAAAATCCTCTAAGGTTAAGACTGGAAACAGATCAACAATGTGCACTGTGACGAATTCCGTATACTCGAGTCCAGGTGAAGAATAGAATGCCAGCATCAGTGGTGAAGAGGATGAATCGGTGAATTGTGAGAGGACAGATCAAACGCTCCTTCAGGGGAGAGGGAACAGGTGGACGAGCAAAACAGCCTATGTAATTCATTGTCATACAGATGCGACAATCCGTGATAGGTAAATAATACCCGTCACCCGAAACACCTGTCATAGACATTCGGCAATCACGCAAAACAGCCCTTCAAACCAGCACTGCCTTCGCATCATCTGTTATTCACCTGATTTGGTTCGATCAACAGTTTAGCATATTGACCGTTAGGAATACAACACGGTTATAGAAAATATATGGGGATTGAGACCACCGAATACCAGTGCCTTATGCCGATGAAAGCTATCTTCGTCAGACATCTATTATTGTCGCTCCTTTGTGTGGGAAATACAATAGTATCCACCACAGGCATGTTCACAATGACTTAGGTAACAGTATGTACACGAGCCACGTTGGTCTAGCTAACGAAGCCACTCCAACACACCCTGAGGACAGCTGGTGAAAACGTTTGCAAACCCACAAGACTCAGAGGAGTGGACGTGCTATTTATCCTAATAAAGAGAACAGAACATTAGTTACAAGTCTGTCGAAGGTAGTTCGCGTGGACAATAAGGGGCACTGCATGGATGCCTCCATCAGTTTGACGAGAAACAACCCTTTGAGCTCTGAATTCCAGCTCCATAAGCACATGGAACAATATATGTATGAGAAGGTTTCAACAGTCTGTCTGCTAGTGAGCCAGAGCAGTCCAAGATTGCTAGTTCGCAGGTAACTTGAAACAAAAGCGAAAAACAGATGACGGGTAGAACCAACTCTGAGGTATAAAAATTTTAAAAAAATCGTTGGGCTGTAGCCCCCTTTCGGTGCCTAGCTGCCATGCCACACGAAGTAGGCACGAGGG